CCCCAAAACCCCAAAACCCCAAAACCCCAAAACCCCATCTGCATAAATCTGAGAGTATTTTTAAAATTGATAGATTTTTAGTGAGTTAATGCTTAAGTTAAAATATTTTAAAGTGTTTTTCTCTCAATTAATAAAGCTTGGCTTGGCATTCATTTTTTGCTGTTTATAAGCATCTTTGGTAAAAGTGAACTCAACTGCTTGCTTCTCAGTCAAGAAAGCCAGATTTAAGATGACCTTTACAAGATCACTCTAGGCAGTATCATTGCCTTCGTCATCATCGTCATCAATGATGTATTTTTATCTTTCTTCCATGCTAGGTGAGAAGTATTAGAAGTCATCCAAGTAAAGTGGATTAGCAAGAATATCATAACAGTGGACTCCTTATATAGTAGAATCACCTCTTTCAGAAGTCCTAAGTTTAGTTAGAGTTTGTTCGTGAAGAATCTCCATGCCAAGAGCACTTCTTGAGTATTCCTCTTCTTTGATTGACCAATTTCTATCATGATCATCAAGAGTGTTGAAATAGTTATCCAAATCTTCATCAATTTCTAAATCTCCTACCTTGATAGTGTTAGGGAATAAAGTACAAAGGAGTTTATACCACTAATATCTAGTGACAGTTCCAATAAGAAAGACCCAGAACATCAATAACATAGGGAGACTTGGACTAGCTACATAAGATTGCCATTTAAGAACATTATACCAAATGTGGCCAGTTTCTTTAATATCCTAGTCATAAGTAAAGGAGAATAACTCATTAGAAAGGAGCTACTTGCTGGAAAGCATCCAATATCCAAAGCCTAAGAAAAGAATTGGAGCATAAGTTAAAATAGTCAGAACATTGATATTGAGTTTCTCATCATACATAGGTGGTTGTCTGTAAGAGTAGTAGACCATAGTCTTTTCAACAAGATAAAGAGTTAGGAAAGAGAGGGCAGCAATAGGGAATAAGATTGGTAAACCAACACCGTACATCATAGTCACAAAGGTAATATTCAAGATAGAGGAGTACTTGTAATGAATAAAGAAGTTTGGACCTGAGTAGATTTCAACATACTGTTAGATTGTGATCTTCTTAGTCTTGTTTGAGTCGCATTTGCATAGACCTCTGTCTAAGCATCTAAAGAGAGTTCTGTATCCATACCAGACGAAGAATTCCAAAACTGGCCAGTAAATGTTAAATAGCATAGCTCCAACTAATGTATTGCCGATATCTTAGAACCAAAATTCGTTAAAGTCTGGAACATTTCCTTTAAATATTAAAGAGAGCATAGGGAACTGTTCATTAAAGTTGGCATTAACTAAGAGTAGTAAAAGGGCAGTATTGAAGAATTATACAATGAAAACTCCATTAGTGATGAGTTTGGTTTGAGCAGATTCTGTATCTCTTCCAATGAAGACAATTAGCTTGATAATGAAAAGTCTGAGAATAAAGTTGATAGCAATAATCATATATTGAGCAGCATTGGTAGCAGCAAAACTTAGATAGCCATCCATATAATACTATTTACATATTTTAACGTTATTATATTTAAAGTCCATCATTTTGTAACCTGATATCCCGAGTCCATAAGTATCACAATAACATTAAAGAGCACCTGAGAGGGGAGTTGGTTCAATAAACCCTTTCTCTGCAAAGTTATAATAATTATCATACTCCTTGTAAGCGTATTCAGCAAGATTTTATCCATAGGTGATGTTGATAGTAGGACAATCAATATCTGGATACTTGGTCTTAGCTACATTTGAGTATGATTTGCAAATGAAGATCAAGGTGAATGATATTAAGACTAAGAATGAGATAGCAAGTAATACAACAGCTGATCTCCAGACAATATCAAACTTGGTATAGTGTCTATTTTCCCAGATGATATTAGTAGGTTCAGTTGTCTCAATAAGATATAGGGCTTGTCCTAAGAACTTTTGATCCTGAGATTTTCTAATTCCAAAGAAGTTAAATTAAGGTTTAAATTCTTGACCAATGATACTTCCATCTTCTTCCTCAAAAGTTATAAAGGCTTCTACTGGTCTGGTGAGGTCTGTGAATTTTTAGTTTTTAAGTTCACATATCTTCTTTTCTGTATCTCTCATTTGTTCAAATCTTTGGTTCTAAATATGCATGCCTCTTTATTTAAGCAAATTTATGAATTCTCCATTGTTATAAGAGAACACAATATCTGCAATTTTAACTTGGCTAATCCTGATGTTTGAAGTGTCAGCAGATGAGAGTTTCATTTAGTTGAGCATATTAGTAAGTATAGTCTCAAGTTCCGACTTCATATAGTCCTTTAAGGCCTTAGCTTTTGGGATACCTTTTTCCTACATATGCTATTAATCATAAATATTATGGCAGAACCACATGTAAGCCTCAGTAGAAATCTCATATCTCAGAGTATAATCCCCTGGAGTAACAGTTTTAAGATCCCAATCAATTTGGTTAAGCTTACTATATTTCTTCACGAAGTATATAGTGATGGCATAGATGCAAGCAGCAAATATAGAAAAACAAGATATGATACTCACTTATGAATATTTCTCTTTTAGTTCCTCATCACTTTACTCGCATGTATACTAAATATATAACATGGCTCCAGAGTCTGCACAAACCTTGGTCTTTGGGTCATTCTTAATAGTGCCATAGTTAACAAAGACATCTTTAAGGGTGTAAGTAGTCTCAAAGTCCGTTTTTTGTACTTTTTCTACTTATAATCTTATCTTATCATCAAATTCTTTGCTAATAATGTCAGTGCATACTTTGTTTTCTTATATGTTTGCACAGACATCTCTCGACTTAATTGTGCTTGGATTTATTCCTATTGATTTGATTTTTGTGATAGTTCCAAATTGGCAGAACATATTAATCTTTTTGACCTCGAATGGGACTGTTTGACAGTTAATATTGGAATAACCCATATTTCCAAGTGAATATTAATCATAACCTTTTTGATACCCTCCATAGCCATCACTCTTCGAGTAATAGTACATAGCTGGGAACATTAAAAGTGATAATAATGTAAATAGCATGAACAGAATAAGCATGAGATCTCTGTAAGCAACCATACCAAATCCAAGAAAGTTGAAAGGGTCTTACTTTTTAAGATCTTTGGAAACTTCTTTCTTAGATTTCCTCATTGTAGCTTACCTCATAGCATGATTCAATTTGTTTTACTAAGCTTCATAGTACTTATTTTCATCATCAAGAAGTGACTATTTCTCATCACCTTTAGATTAACTGCCACAGCAATAGGTGCACGGCTTTAGCACTGGGAATACTTGGCTAATATGGGTATTATTCAATGGATGGTTTTCTTTAATGATCACTCTTGCCAATTTGATCTATAATAGTAGATGTTAGACAAAGTTGTCAAATTGAAGAAGTTCTACTTACTTATTCAAGGTCTAGAATCTTGGGCTAATGAGTAGTCTCAGATTTCAGAGATTTTTAACCTATTAGCGTATCTTTAGTTTCAGACATTTTCAATGTTTCTAATTATTAATAATCAGAAAAAATGCTGTTTGAAGGTTAAAGTATTATGAAATCTATTAATCTCTTAAATTTGCATGTATCTTTATATAAGGGGTTTTGGGGTTTTGGGGTTTTGGGGTTTTGGGGTTTTGGGG